GGCACCGCCCATGCTGAGACCTCATACTCCCCTTTGGCACCGCCCATGCTGAGACCTCATACTCCCCTTTGGCACCGCCCATGCTGAGACCTCATACTCCCCTTTGGCACCGCCCATGCTGAGACCTCATTCTCCCCTTTGGCACCGCCCATGCTGAGACCTCATTCTCCCCTTTGGCACCGCCCATGCTGAGACCTCATAAGCCCCAGGTGCTGCCCATGCTGAGACCTCATGCTCTCCTGGGGAGATACTACTGTCCCGGGCAGCAGCCTCAATATCCGGGATGGCTCCGTACAAGTCTTAGGGCCCAGCACATGGGTGCAGCTGGCTTGGAAGAGGAAAACATTGCACAGAGGATGCGGCTTAAGTACCAAGCCAAGTAAAAAGCCGGAGTGGGTGGAGTTAGTGCAGGCTATGTTGGGGGGAGGAGGGGGTTGTCTAGTAGTTCAGTTTAAGGGAACAGTTGTCCTTTTAATGTACTTCATAGGAAACCTGTGCTTTGTCCATGCGGAGGAAGGAAACGGGTTCACTGCAAAGTCCAGTCACCCAGCACCATATTTATTCCTGTCCTTCTCTCTCCCGCCCCTCCCTTCAGTCTCCGGGAAGTGAGGAAAGTACCCGAGACTTCTAGTACGGAGGAGCATGTGACCGCGCTGGTACTTGCTGATTGGACCAGCTCTGTGTAAGCAGCTGGAGATCTGATTAGAGCTTACACATGGCTGGCTTTCCTCTCTCCCACCCACGAGTACATGCCGCTTGGAATTACAGGGAGCGTGTTGCCTCGCTCTGCATTAAGGACAGGTTCACTTTAAAATACGGCTGGCTTTACAATGTGAAATCCGGCGTAACCTCCCAGAAATCTGCGCAATGTGAGCCAGGAAGACGGCATTGTACAAAGCTGTCCAAGTTTCTCAGGCACTGTAGGGAGCAGGGGTTTACGCTGCGAAGTGAAGACGAGCACAAGGAGACCTCTGAGGCCGCAGAGCCTCCAGTAACAGTGGCTGTTGATGTATTTCCTCTGTGACAGGTCCTCTTTATAGAGAGTATGACCTTCAGGTGTAATGTCCCCTCCCCCGAGTCTTTGTGTTTTTATATCTGTGGTTGTATTTTTTTTATGAAATGTTTATAATAAATCGTTTCTTTGTGTTTATTGGTTTATATCCTGTTTATGACCTCCAATGGCGGATGTTCACAAGTCAGGAATTGCCCCGAAATCTTATTGATACCAATTGATCCATTTTTCACTTCGACATTGAATTGATCAGAAATTGTCAATACACAGAGGATGACATCATAGACTTTATCAGATGAGGTCACTGTAGACCTTCTCAGGCGGGGGGACGCGGTAGACCTTCTCAGGCGGGGGGACGCGGTAGACCTTCTCAGGCGGGGGGACGCGGTAGACCTTCTCAGGCGGGGGGACGCGGTAGACCTTCTCAGGCGGGGGGACGCGGTAGACCTTCTCAGGCGGGGGGACGCGGTAGACCTTCTCAGGCGGGGGGACGCGGTAGACCTTCTCAGGCGGGGGGACGCGGTAGACCTTCTCAGGCGGGGGGACGCGGTAGACCTTCTCAGGCGGGGGGACGCGGTAGACCTTCTCAGGCGGGGGGACGCGGTAGACCTTCTCAGGCGGGGGGACGCGGTAGACCTTCTCAGGCGGGGGGACGCGGTAGACCTTCTCAGGCGGGGGGACGCGGTAGACCTTCTCAGGCGGGGGGACGCGGTAGACCTTCTCAGGCGGGGGGACAAGGCGGGGGACGCGGAATGAAGGAGATTCCCAACTTATTTCCACAAATCAACAAAATAACTCGACTTCTTTATTTGCTCTTCTATCCTGATAACAAAATAAAAACAATAATGTGCAAAAAAAAATCTATCCGGTGACAATAAGGAATATGGATCCAAGTTACAATAATATTGATCAGCAAGACGATAAAAATAAAACCTTGCGATATAATAATAAAACAAAACTCTGCGTCTCCGGGAATGTAATTAGTAACTTCTCAGCAGAATGTGACACATAATGTGCAGATCCGACATGTGACCTCTCCCAGCCAATCAGATGTTCGCAAGCGCAAATCTCTTCTCCACATGAACTGTCTCCTCATACTCTGCACAGGACCGGCTATCAGACCAGAATCTGTCTGAGGGAAAGATAAACTTCCTCTATATCACAGCTAAACCATCGACTAGACACTGAAATCAGCTTCCCGGAGACTCCTCCCCCAAAAATGAAATCAGCTTCCCGGAGACTCCTCCCCCCAAAACTGAAATCAGCTTCCCGGAGCCTCCTCCCCCAAAACTGAAATCAGCTTCCCGGAGACTCCTCCCCCAAAACTGAAATCAGCTTCCCGGAGACTCCTCCCCCAAAAATGAAATCAGTCTCGGAGACTCCTCCCCCAAAACTGTAATCATCTTCCCGGAGACTCCTCCCCCAAAAATGAAATCAGTCTCGGAGACTCCTCCCCCAAAACTGAAATCAGCTTCCCGGGGTCTCCAAAAATATTTCTCCCGAGATTGGAAGGAAGACAATTTCCTACAGCAGATAAAAGTACTCACAATTCAATCCCGATACTAACAATGACTAAGCGGTCTGGTCAGATATATTTGGCCGGTCACTTCCTGCAGAGAAATAGAGATTTATACTTTACCAGAAATGTACAATTCTTGTGTCTGAGATGTGGGAGGAGAAATCTTCTCACCCCGATTATGAGGTCAGGAAAGTTTTACTTTTGCCTTAAAGTGACATTAAGTCAAATTTGTTTCCCACTCCTGCTGTAGGGACTTACCTTAAATGATGTCTCTTGATCCGATCATCTTCCTTACTTTCTTTTCATCTGTCCCTCCAGCGCTGGGTGCGGGTCTCCGATCCGGCGCTGACTCCTCTGTCCTCCTCTTTGATGTCCCACGGAGTCTGTGCGGGTGCACGCTGCTCCACAGATTTACCTTGTGTCTCTCCTCGTCTCCCGGCCGAACATCTGAACTGCGCATGCGCCCGCCCCAAGATGCTTTGCGGCCGCCTGAGAAATGTTCGGATGGGAGCGCGCGGCGGAGACACAGGTAAGTATTAAAGGAGAACTATGAGGGGGGGAGGGGGGGTGCTTTCCACTCACCTCATAGCTCTAGCCGACCTGTGACAATGAGACTGTCACAGGTCGGCTCAGTAGATCGGGAGGTGAGAGAACACATACCGGCGCTCGCTCACCTCTCGATCCTGTCCCTGCTCTCTGCCGTGACAGGGGAGTGGCTGGATTCCCCCCTCCCCGCTCCGATCTGCCAGCGCTGACTGGCGGAAAGGACGGGGGAGGGGGCGGGTACAGCTGGCTCTGCCTCTAGATAGGAGGAGCCAGCTGTCACTCACGCAGCTGGGCGGATCCCGGCACAATTGTCGGGATCCGCTTCAGCTGCGGCGTCTCAGTATACCGCGAGCTGTAGCTCCCTATATACTGAGCTTAGGGTGACGGGAGGACGCTACTTTATGTCCTCCCGTGACCCTAAGGAGAACTATGGAGAAAAGCCCCGACCTCAGAGTTCTCCTTTAACCCTTTTTAAAAGGTTTTTTTTAAAAATGTTTTTGCATCTATCTCCTGCTTGCCAGCGTTATATATATATATATATATGCAAAAACACGCAGAGGGTTTAATAACCCTTTAAATTGTCCCGGCAATTGCCTGAAGAGGGCACTGTTGGATTTTTTCTCTAAAATTCCAATATTACTCCATCAGCTGAGTCTATAAAATGAAGAATGACTCAGAAGCTGTTAGACTGACTGTCTCTATAAGAGATGTATAACTTTATAAAGTCTGAGCAGGAACAACAATTCCCTTTTCTTCCACATTGAGAATGAAGTCATTTGTACCGAGACACACACACACCGCGGTCACCTCACATTGCTTCACTGATTACAAAATAACAATATTCCCAACATCATTATTTGTACTTTTAAAGAACACTATAATAATAATATATACTAATATGTGTCAATCAGTACAACCACATTGTGTTTTAAACATTGTTCGTTTATTTATTCCATCTGAATGAATTTTAGTGGTTCTAATTGATTTTTGTATTTTGGTTAGACTGGTTATATCTATACTTGTTTATGAAGCTAGTCCTGTTTTATACTTTTATATTAGCTTCCATACTGACCTCGCCAGAATCAATTATAGCTTATTCTTTTGCTCATACAGCTACCTTTAGCGCTTTGTTTCTCTTGATCATACAAGGTATAGAAGGTGAATATTGTATACAAAATAATATAAAATTACTCAATTCAGTAAATATTTGGATGCTTCATATAATAATACAATTGAAATGATTGATAACACCATTCCTATCCCATAATAATAATACTGTGTATAAGGTGACGTCTATAATCAGATCTTCTTCCTATGATGAGAAAAGGAAACAAATATCATGGAAGTCTCTTTTGTTCTTTGGTAAGAGATGGCGAGTCCATCAATCTCAGTGTAACCCAGTCCGGTCCCATGGGGACCCCCCCGATCGGTGTCTGGGACCCCCGCAATGCACACCCCGGGAATGTCTGTGGTGAGGCTCCGAGAGTCGCTGATGTGAGAGTCTTTGTCCAGAAACCAGGAACTCGCATTCACCTGATACACTGACAGGGGATAAAGAACAAAGATGGCGTCCAGGATCCCCGTGTTACTATATGTAGAATAATATGTATCGGCCTTTATAGTTTCATTACTTTCCGCCCCAAATAGTTCCGACAACATTACTAATCTGACACGTCCGTCTGCGTGTCACAACACTTCTTACAACTCAACCTTTCAGAAACCGAGCTCATTAGACGCGTGCGTTTCGTTACAGAATTACAGATATAACGAATGCACACGAATCCCAATTTCCGTTCATTCGTTGCAGCGACGTAACACTAGAGAAGGAGAAAAAAAAATATTTTCCCCTCAAATGTCACTTTGCTGCAACGAATACGAAACGAACGTTCGAACGAACTACCAATAATGAATTTCGTAACACAAAATCCGAATCAAAACTAAATGAAACTAAACAAATTTTTTGCCAGTGCACATGTCTAGAGCTCATGATATTCCCCCTCCCCCCCTCTCTTCAGCTCCCTCGTCAACTCCTCCAATGCTCACCTCCATCCTATGGAACTCTCTACCCCAACCTGTCCGTCTATCTCCCACTCTGACTGCCTTTAGGCGATCCCTTAAGACTCATCTCTTCAGGGAAGCCGATCCCACCTCAACCATTCATCCCCCACACAGCTCCCTCCTCATGTATCACTGGCTCCTCCCCTCTTAGATTGTAAGCCCTCAGGGGCAGGGCCCTCCTTACCATCTTGTATTGTATTGTGATTGTAATGTCTTCCTTATATTGTAAAGGCAAACTGTTGGCGCTCTATAAATCCTGTATAATAATAAGGG